GATTGCATTTTTTTTATGTGATGGAGAATATGTAGTTAAAAAAGAAGGAAATGTTATTGATGTGATAGAAAATATTATTTTATTGAAAAATGTGTGGTTGAAAATGAGTAGAAAAATGAGAATGAAAAATATAATGTAGCTCAAACAGGGCTTAGCATCGTAAATCTTTCATTTGGGCTGCAAAACTTTTAGTTGAAGACTATTGTCATCCATTTATTTCAAAATGGATATCAGAAAAAATTCTACTTTTATTCGATTTATAAGTCTCTGATTTTCGGTTTCCTCTTTTTTCCCTTCATTTTGTTTGATTTCTACTTTCATAGAGGTTGATTTAAGGGATTTAGTACTTGAATTTAAAAATATATTTCAGTGATCACTGAACTATGCCAAATGTTATTACTTAATAATTGAACCTAAAAATGTATCTCAATTATCATCGAACTTTGTCAAGTGTTACTATTTTATAACTGAATTTAAAAGTGTATCACAATGTTAACTTAACTATTCACCATGATATCCATTCATTACTCAAGTCAATGTCTTCTATTGAACCTATCGGATTTTTTCACTTTAGTGATGGATGAGTAAGATTGTACATAGTTCAATGATCATTTGGATATATTTTTAAGTTCGGTGATGAAGTAGTAACACTTAGTGAAGTTCGCTAATCATTAAGATATATTTTTAAATTCAATTATTAAGTAATAACACTTGGCAAAATTCAGTAACCATTTAAGTAATTAACCCATTAAACTTCTTCTGTAGAAAGAAAATGTCACCTTGTTGACAGTACACATGGGAGCGGGACCCATGTGAATAAAAAAGGTCAAAACAATCCTATGTCCCCTATTGTAAGGGGTCTATAACAGGATTGTCAATCAATTATATGGACAGTGTACATCTACAGATTATCCCGAGAGGCAAATTTTATACCAAATTATAATAAAAAATGTGAACTTACAGGGTTCCCGCCTTTGTCGACTACTTTCTCACAAATCAATTAGGGCCTTCTTGGGAGTTTTAACTTCATCGATTTTGGATGACACCGTTTATGAGGAGTTGCAAGAATCAGTGCTTGCTAGATTTTTTGGGTATCGATTTTGGATGGTTTAAAAAACACCCAAAAACGATGAAATGTAATTTTGACCGATTTTCTCAATCAAACATAATCGACATTTTTTAGTCGTTTCTCAAATCTCTTCCAATTTTACCCTTTATAAAATAATTATTTTCAACAAACATATTTTGTTTAATACTAACTTTTATAAATAAAAATACACTAACTAAAAAAAATTTATAAGCAAAAAAATTATAATTAAAAAGATTACTTATAAGTAAAATACTACTTATAAGATAAAAATCATTTTTGTGTAAAAATCTTAATAAAAAAAAATAAAAAATCACTTATAAAATATAAAAAAATATTTATAAGTAAAAAAATTCGAATAATGCCATATCCATTCAGATATCCAATCTAATATCGTTGGATTCCATCCAATTACCTTATGCACTGAAGAAAAAAGGTTCAACCATAAAGCAGCCTTGAGCAGTAGTTAAAAGAAACATTACATAGCACATCAATAGTTTTCTAATTGCAAGTACACTGCATTCCTCCTTCC